CTCACCACCCCCCCCCCACCCTATATATCCTTGTTGGATTTTCTAGCTCTGCCTCCGAACAGACCTGGATTTGAAGGGTGGGTACCTGGATTCCAGTACAAATGCCTGCCCAGAACGGTCGTCACTGCTCAGCTTTGGACCCTCTGATCTGGCTCCACAGCCCTCCATAAACTCTGCTTCAGAGATCAACTTCCCAGGGAAAACTGGGGAAGCACAACTGCTGCTAAGAAGCTCTGATCAAGCTTTTCGGACAGAGTTTAATTTAATGTATGCCTTCTCCCCATTGAACGCTATGCCACGTGTGGATGGGTTGTTGCGGGGATCTGCTCCTTTGGGAGACAGGAAGCCAATGAATTCAGAAGCAGGATGCTGCAGCTCTCCTGCTGAAGGATATTTCAGCAGACATGAGTCAGGGCTGCTTAAAGAGACAGTGCATGGATCCATGTCTCCCTGTGGTGAGAGGGCTTGCGAAGGAGTCAGATCTGCTCCACAGAATCCACCGCAAAGGAAGAAGGCAAGTAATCCTTGCAAAAGAACTGCAGATTGTGTGAACCTGAGCGGGAACAGTCAGTGCCACGGGAAAGACTTACAGGGAGAATGAAGAAAACGGAATACAACTAAAACGTAATCAGGGCGAGTAGTCCAGACGTCCAGTGCTTGGTGGGAGAGAAAACAGTCCAAAGTTAAAGGAAAGGGAGTAACCTTTTAAGTGAGATTTTTGATGTGAAAAGGGGTCAGAGAAAGACAGCAATGAAAATACCTCTTTTGGGAATAGAGAAAGGAGACCATGATGTGAACAGCCACCATAAGCAGTTCTTAAACTGAGATGAGACCCTGGGCAATAACTGAGTGTAACTTTTCTGGTTGGTGGATAAGTCATTTACCAGGCTGAAAAGGGTCCTTACTGGAATTGAGTAGCGTTTCGAGAGAAAATGCAGGCAGTTTATTAGAAAAAGCTCATTAACATGGGAATGCAATAACACTGCAAGAAAAGCAGATGGGCTTCTGTTACCTAAATTTAACTCTTTGAAACTAGAAACACTAGAATATTGTTTTAGTGTCTCGTAACAGGCCAGTGACCCTCCTGGGACTAAAATGGAGCCAAAATGGCAAATCAGGAGCTCCTATGTTAAAACAGGACGCTGGTGAGGCAAATACGCATACACTTGCAGAGATGTGTAGCAATGCCTTTTTTTTTTTTTGTGCTTGGAATTTCTGCTTGATCACTTGCATAAATGTCCAGCTAGATAGGAAGCCATCCCAATTCCATTTCTGGATGGAAATTGTTTTTTTGTTTTTTGTTTTTAACAGTTATATATCACTATAACAGTATATATCTTATATATATATACAGTATATACGTATACAGTATATATATAACAGTATATATCTTAAAACCATCATATGTTGAGATATGTTTGGAAATACCCTGTTCAGTATTTTAGCATCATAAAGCCTTTTACACAGACATTGAACCCTAGTGATAAATTTTTCAGCAGAACTGCCTTCTGTCGGTCCTTCATGAGGGACTGTGCATTGAAATAACACTAAGGGAAGGCAACCTGAAACGGTAAGTGCTGAACTGGAAGAAAGACTTGTGCCGTTTGATTTCTGCCATCCCCATGTTCCAAGTCCGCATCGTTTGGGACCCTTTGGTCTGCCTCTCTGACAAATCTGAGAGTACACAAAATGCATTCCTGGCAGCCTGGAATACTGGCTGCTAAGCCACCAGATCAAGAACCTGCTTCAAACAGGTTAAAATTCTGTGTTGGGCTTTGCCAAGGCTTCAGCACTAGGGTGACGGAGACAGTGTGGGTGAATAGGGCTTTCTGAAGATAGCAATTTTGTAAAGAAACCCTTTTTTTCTCCATTTTTTGAGATGTGCAGATACTGATTCACATTATGTAAAATCTCACAAGCCATGGAGAGAAGGAGTGGTGGGGATATAGAGGCTTGATATTTAAATCAGAGTCACTGAGAATTTTGATAATGAAGTAATGGGAAATTCTGGGATGCAGAAGCAAACCCAGCATTCTGGGTTGGAGAAGCAAACTAGGTAGGTATTTCTGCTGATGTATTGGTCATAATGAGTAAAGTGTAGGTAAGCATGGCAGTTGATGGGCGATCCAAGTTTGCGCCTTTTAGCTCTCTTTCCAGAGTGCCTGCAGAGTCAGGAAAATGTATAATCTCAATGTACCTCTTAAAGTTTTCTCTGCAAACAAGGAGAAATTGACTTCAGAAATGGTGTGGGGGGGCAGGTTCCTCATGCTTCTGGCCCAGTCCCTTGCTTTCCCTGACTTATGGCTGTATCTTTCTCCCAGGTCTCTCTGCTAGAATATCGCAAGCGGAAACAGGAAGCCAAGGAGGGAGGCGATACAGTGCGATGTACAGGGACTCCTACCCGACAGGGCAGCAGCAGTTCTGTGACTGACACAGATGTCAGCAGCTTGCCGGGCTCCGTAGTACGAGCCCCATCCTCCCCACAAAGTGGCTTCTCCCCTTCTCATCCCTCCCTGCCTCATGTAGAGGAGATCAGCCCACCAGACTCAAGGGGGGCTAGTTCCTCAACATCACTCTGCAAAGCCCAGGAGAACATCAGCAGTAGGTGGTGAGTGTTATCCCTCCAAGCAAGCCTGAGATGTCTCCACAGAGACAAACCAAACTCTGTCGGGGCCATTTCTATAACAATATGTGCAATTGGACGGATTGTGTTGGGTCTCTTTGCAGTGTTGTGTTTGATAATTGTTTAAATAACCACAAAGGATAGCAGCAGCCTTTTCAACTTGCCCTTTAGTTCTTAGTTAAGATGTAGTGTACCCTGTCTTGAAAGATGTGAAGTTAAACAGTTGTATCTCTCTTCCACCAGTTTCTTTTTTAAGGACCCA